CGATCGCCGCCTGCCCCGCAGTGCCCGGCCGCGGGCCGAGACCCCGCCTGCGGCGCGCCATCCGGGGCCGCAGCTCCCGTCTGTCTCCGTGGATCGGGAAGAAAACAGGTTGCCACGTAGTAACGAGCCTCCCCCCGGCTGACACTTCTTCCCCGGAGTCCGCTGGCGCCTGGCGTTTTTTTTTATTTTTTGCCCGTGTAGCGGATGAAAATAGGAAAGGATGACAAGGTCCGGTAGCGCTGCGGAGGCCGCGGATCACGTTCGACAGAGGCGGGACTTGAACCTGTGGAGTCGGGTTCATCGCGTCCACGTTCTTATCCACTATACCATAGTGCCTTTTATCAGAGAGGCTTGCAGCAGCTTGGTTAAGGGTATGAACAAGGCTCTTTGACATCAGCTAGACCTGGTACTTCTGTCTTGATTTCAGAATTACCCTGGGCAATGTCCTTATTCCTCTGAGCCTCAGTATCCTCCTTTTTAAGGTGAAGGTGGTAAGTCTTGATTCCTGTGGCTAAGAAAATGACTAGATGTAAGCGTTCTTGGCGCCAGGCATGTCCAGCTATTGGGAGAAGAGTGAGTTAAAAAAATCGCCCCACCACAAACTCGATGATGCATATAATTACTGTGTGTGTGTGTGTGTGTGTGTGTGTGTGTGTGTGTGTGTGTGTAATATGGGTGCATGTGCCTGCATGTTCACATACCCACGCACACTGAGATTTGAACTCAAGGCCTTGTGGTCTGACTTTGCCTTTTCAGGCTGGCGCGGTACCAGTTGAGCCACACCTCCGCTGAAGGCCTTTTGTTGGTTAATTGGAGATAGGAGTCTCAGACTTTCCTGCCCGGGTTGGCTTTGAACCTCAATCCTCCTCCTGTGACTTAGTGAAGAGTTAGGATTACTGGCCCTGTGGCTCTTGGCCTTTATTTCTGCTTTATGCTGGAGAAAACAGAAGCATTGAGAAGCCATCATGGAGTTTATATTCTGGTACAGAATACAACCAACCCCCAAGTAAATAGACAGGGAAGTTCTTGGTTATGGTAAGAACCACTCCGGAAATAGGCTGAGGAGTTGGGTGTAGCTGGAAGGGTTTGAGATGGGGTCTGGGCTTGGAGCTAATAACCAGGAGTCCTGCCCCGGAAAAGCCTTGGAGGGGTGGTGGGGTGACTACTGTCCAAGTCCTGTGCCTCCTAGAGCGTGCTGCCTGGAGCTTGGCCTGTTGGAGGTCTAGCAGGTGGCGGCCACCAGGTCAGGTAGAGATGGACTTTATGTAGGGCCTCGCTCGGGACCACGAGGAAAAGTTCGCATTCTATTTTATGACTTAGGGTTTTGATCAGGGGATGGTGAATTAAAGGTCTGAAAGAGGATCTTAGGGAAGAAGTTAGATCATTGTTCTTCAGACTAGATAAGATTTATTAGTGGAGTAGGAAATCAGCTTAAGGGATTGTCACTAGCCATTTCTTTGGGGGTGGGGGTGGGGTGCCAGTCCTGGGGCTTGAACTCAGAGCCTGGGTGTTTTCTCTGAGCTCTTTGACTCAAGGCTTGTGCTCTACCACTTTGAGCCTGAGAGCCACTTCTGGTTTTCTGGTTCTTAATTGGACTTTCCTGCCATCGCTGACTGAAAACCTCAATCCTCAGATCTCAGCTTCCTGAGTAGCTAGGGTTACATTCCTAAGCCATCAGCCTCTGGCTTGGCTTTTGCTTTTTCTTTCTTTCTTTCTCCCTCTCCCTCTCCCTTCTCTCCCTCTTCCCTCTCTTCCTCTCTCCTTCTCTTCCTCTCTCCTTCTCTCCTCTCCTCCCTCTCTGTCTCTGTTGTGGGGCTTAAACTTTGGGCCTGGGCAAGGCTAGTGCTCTACCACTTGAGCCACAGCACCATTTACAGCTTGTTCTACTTATGTGGTGTTGAGGAATCGAACCCAGGGCCTCATGTGTGCGAGGCAAGCACTCTACCACTGAACCATCTTCCTGGCCCCTTTTTCTCTCTCTTTTTTTTCTTTCTTTCCTTTTCTTTTTTTCTTTTTTTTTTTTTTGAAGTTTATTGGAAGTAAGATTTCCGTAGACTTTCCTGTCCTGGCTGGCTTCAAACCACAAGTCTCAGATGTCAGCATCCTGAGTAGCTAGGCTTACAGGTGTGAGCCACTCGCTAGCACTCCGCTAGCATTTTATTTTGAATGAACAATGGTAGAAACTGCACGGTATCTAAGTAGGCAGTTGTGGTGGCTCTCTGTGAAACCTTGCTTCAGTCATACAATGGCTCAGGTGTTCTAGTCATTGATAGGAACTTTCTTATGCTGAGTCTTAGGCTGAAAACTTGGAAAGTCACTGAGTTGGATCTTGTTGGCTAGGAGACTGGAAATGATCATTTTTAAATTTTTTTGAGCTCAAGTGTGTATGTGTCCTGGGACTTGAACTTAGCTCTCACTTAGCTTTTTCCAGTCAGGGCTGGCCCTCTTCTTTTCCTTCTACTTCTCCTTTTCTTTTGTTGGTTCTGGGGCTTGAATTCTGGGCTTGGCACTGTCCTTGAGCTCTTCAGCTCAAGGCGGGCACTCTACCTTGTGAGCCACAGAGCCACTTCCAGTTTTCTGGTGGTGTACTGGAGATTAGAGTCTCACAGACTTTCCTGCCTGGGCTGGCTTTGAACTGTGATCCTCAAATCTCAGTCTCCTGAGTAGCTAGGATTACAGGCATGAGCCACTGGCACCCAGCTGGCTCTCTTCTTGAACCACAGCGCCACTTCCGGTTTTCTGGTGATTTGTTGGAGATAAGAGTCTCACAGACTTTCCTGTCCTGGCTGGCTTGAACCTCGATCCTCAGAGCTCAGCCTCCAAACCTCAGATCTCAAACCTCCCGAGTAGCTAGGATTACAGGCATGAGCCACCGGTGCCTGGCTCACTTCTGGCATTTTTGCTAATGAATTGGAGCTGAGGGACTTTTCTGCCCCAGCTGGCTTTGAACTTCAGTCCTCAGCTCTCACTCTCCTGAGTAGCTAAGATTACAGGTGTGAGCCACCCAGGTGGTCTAGGATGATCACCTTTGCAGTGAGCCAATCACGTATGGGATCCAGAGGGAGTCATCTCATCCCATCTCAGCTGGGCTGGGCTCAGCAGAGGTCCTACCGTGTGTGTGTGTGTGTGTGTGTGTGTGTGTGTGTGTGTGTGTGTGTGTGTGTGTGTGTGTGTGTGTGTGTGTGTGTGTGTGTGTGTGTGTGTGTGTCAGCAGAGGTCCTACCGTGTGTGTGTGTGTGTGTGTGCGTGTGTGTGTGTGCGTGCGTGCGCGCGCGTGTGTACGTGTGTGCGTGTACGTGTGCATGTGTGCGCGCAGAGGTCCTACCGTGTGTGTGTGTGTGTGTGTGTGTGCGCGCACGCGTGCGTGCAGGGAGGGTAGATGCTTGCCATGCATACACACGGAGCTGAGGAGCCTTCTACCCTCCTATGTCCTCTCTGCACTGTAGCAGCTGCCTAAAATTGTTTAATGGTTCATAGTTCCCCAGCGCTCCATTCTGAAATCAGGCCTGTTCCAGGCCTGATTTCTTCCTGCTCCAGGTTTTTCTCAAACTAAATCTCCCATGGCATGCCCATGCTTCACCTTGACCATAACAAATAGGTGGTCGTGTGCTAGGCATTGGGATGTCGCACAGGACAAAGTAGACTAAAGTCCCGGCCTGTGGGTGGCGGTAGTAGTGACTTGTGATATGGAGAAAGCTGGAGCAGAGTAATGGGGACAGCGTACAATTTTGAATGGGGGGGGCTGAGATGCTCTTTAGGGCCGAGGTGACATTTGAGCAAAAGTCAAGAGAGATGCAGGAGGGATCCAGAAGGCTGTCCGCAGATAGAACAGTTCTTCAGGCCCTGAGTGCAGTGGCAGGGACAGGTGTGAGGGAAAGGGACAGGAGGCTGACCTGTGCTGCATGGGATGGAATGGGGGTCCTCCAAGGCTCTTCACGACAGAAGCCAAGCAGTGCTGGGAGAGGCCGGGTGGAAGCAGGAAGCTGTCACTGAGATCCAGCAGCAGAGCTGGTGGGACTGGGGCAGCGGGGGAGGGGAGGCAGCTCCTGCTCTCTTTGCAGATTGAGCTGAGAGGATTTTGCTGGTATTGAAGTCAAGGGTGACACCATGGCTTCAGCCTGGGTAGTTGGCAGGTTGGGGTGTGTCTGTGATAAGAGAGGGTCTTAGTGAGGGCTAAGGTGACATTGAACTAATTCCACAAGCATCAGGGTCAGGGGTCACGTTCTTGTCTGGACACACTGAGTGGTGTGGACTGCAGACTGAGGGGTACTGGGCTCCCTTCCTCAGCTAAACATGATCACCCCTTGTCCTGGGGATGAAGAGCATTCAGCCCTCTCCCCCATGGGGACACCTGCATCCTTCCCTCAGGGGCTGCCTGGAGTGACTCCTCCCCTCTCCTGGAGGACCCCCCCCCCACACACACACACATACACTGCTGTTGCTCTGTTGTCCTAACCCTTCCCTCCCTTGAGCAGCCTATGCCTCCTTCCCCTGCAGTGAGGCCCTGCCTTCCTCTGAACCCCCACTCAGTGGTCACCCCAAGGCCTGGACTTGAAGTCCACTTGATCATCTTGTACAATGGGAATGGTCAAGCCACCTCACAGGCTCCTCACACCAAACACCGAGAGAAAGTATGGGCAAACTTGACGTCTCCTGTCACTTGTTTTCTCATTTGGTAGCGCCACAGCCTCAGATATGGGTGTGGGAACGGTGGCTATGGACCAGCCACCCCGTCCTCTGATGAAACCCATAGAACCAGTCATCCCCCCCCCTCTTTTTGTCAGTCATGGGGCTTGAACTCTGGGCTTGGGCACTGTCCCTGTGCTCTTGCTCAAGGTGAGTGCTCTATCTACTGCTTGAGCCACAGCACCGCTTCTGCTTTTCTCATGGTTTTATTGGAGATGAGAGTCTCACAGACTTTCCTGTCCAGGCTGGTTTTGAACCTCAGTCCTCAGATTTCAGTCTCCTGAGTAGCTAGGATTACAAGCATGAGCCACCAACGCCCAGCTTGACTGAGTTTTTCTTTCTTCTTCCCTCCCTCCCTTATTTGTTGGTTGTGGGACTTAAACTCAAGGTGTGGGCACTGTCTCTGAGCTTTTGTGCTCAGCACTAGCACTCTACCACATTGAGCCACAGCAACAGTCCGGGTTTTCTGATTAGTCGTAGATAAGAGTCTCACAGACTTTCCTGCCTAAGTTGGCTTCAAACGTGGATCCTCAGATCTCAGGCTCCTGAATAGCTAGGATTACAGGGCTGAGCCACCAGCACCTGGCTGAGTCTCCTTGCTTGCACCCACTGCTTGGTTGTGTGTTTCCCTTCCCTCCCCCTCCCCCTCCTCCTTCCCTCTCTCTTGGTCAGTAGAAGACTGCAGTTGGCTGTCCACTGCAGACTTCACCATAGACGCAGAAGTTGGTCAGTGTTGTCTTGGGCCCCCCACTTCCCATGCAGTTTCTGTTAGAATAGGCACCCCAGTAGTGTTCAGTATTGACCAGCTGACTTCCAGGTCTCTTGCTCTGCTTTGCAGATTTGAGGCAAGGACTACGAGAGGCGTGGCTCTCCCTAGTATGGCCAATGAAGAGGATGACCCAGTCGTACAGGAGGTAACTGCTGCTGTCCATCCTCTACCAGGGCTGCTGGCAGTGCTCTGAGCCCGCCCCCCGCCCCCCTCCACAGGCCAGTGGGGGAGCTGTTGGTATCCTAGTACTCCTAGTCTTTGCCATTACCTCTACTTTCCCCAGACACTGGTGTAGCTGACCACTCCCAGGGCTCTGGTCCAGTGTCCTTACTACCAAGATCTCCCTGGTGGCTCTGACTTGGCCACATTGGCTGTTCTGCTCAGTGCCAGGCCCCGTACTGGCTCGTAGACCCTGTGGTCTCTGTTGAGGGATGGGGATGGACAATAACCCCTCCTGGGTTTTCCCAATACGGTCTTTCAGCACATGTGGCTGTGCCCTTCCCTGGGGAGCTTTGGGAGGCAAAGTCCATGACTTTCCTATACATGTCTGGAGCCTGGCTTTGAGCTGGGGGGGGTCATAGACACATATTCAGTGATTCTTCCTTATTTGGGGCTACTGCTTACTAAGTTTTTGGATTCCAGCTGTGCATTTTAGCTGCAACTACATTGTCAAAAACAAGCTATGAGGGCTAGGAATGTGGCCTAGTGGTAGAGTACTCACCTCGCATGCATGAAGCTCTGGGTTTGATTCCTCAGAACCACATAAACAGGAAAAGCCAGAAGTAGCACTATGACTCAAGTGGTAGGGCGCTAGCCTTGAGCAAAAGATGCTCGAGGACAGTGCCTAGACCTCGAATTGAAGCTCCAAGACTGGCAAAAAAAAAAAAAAAAGCTATGATGGGTGGGGATGTGGGGGCATGGTTGCTGGACAGAGTGGCAGCCAAGGGACTCTCAGTACAGAGATGGCCCTGGCATGCCTCCATTCAGATGCTGCCTCCACTGCATCTTTAAAGATGACTGAATTGTAAAGGCTCTGGGCATGTGTGCAAAGTGTTTCAGGTGGAAGGAGGAGCAAGCCAAAGCCCAGGGGTAGGAGAGAGCAGGGATCATATACATAGCTAGGAAGCAGAAGGGAAACATGGGATGGGCTTGGGGAGGCGGTTATGAAAGGACTTGCAGGCTACTTGACCATGGTGGCAGGTAGGTCCAAGAGCAAGGGGCAAGGGTGGGATTTTGTCTGTGCCTTCCTAGCTGGGAGAGAACTTGGTTGGGGCGAGCAGCGGTTGGGGCGAGCAGCTCTTGTCCTGGTTGCTCTGAGCTGTCAGGAGGGAGGTTTGAGACCTGGTTCTCTTTATTGGCCTGAGTTGAACTATTTCCTCCTTCCTAAACTCTCTCCCTCTGAGCCACTGCCCCTAATGGAAGTTCAAGGAGTGGGTTTGTGCCTGCGGTTGGGGCCTGGTGCTCTCTGCCCTGTGCTCTGGCTAAATCTTCTCCCCTTGTTTCCAGATTGATGTGTACTTGGCCAAAAGTCTGGCAGAGAAGCTGTATCTGTTTCAGGTAAATGTGGAACTGGAAGGAAAGGGGGAAGCCAAACCAGCAGGATGGCCTGGGGAACCTCGGCCTTTCTTAGTATTCTCTACCCGAGCGCAGTGGGTGCTAGCTCCCTTCCCGGGGTAGGGGGCTGCTATTAGTCTCTTCATTGGCGGGAGGAAAAGTCAGGCAGTGCTCACATCTCAGACCATACACCCAGATGTAGCTTCCAGTTCTCTTGGAAGTTTCCTCCTAATCTCTGTCTTGGTGATGCCTGCTTACGGGATTCATGTGAGGACTGGAGCATGGGGGAAAGCCATAGTGGGAACCCACAGCGATCACCTGGGTCTTGCCAGCTCTGATGCCCTCTACTTTCTGGGCCAGTAGCTTATAGTGGTGCACGTGCATTGAGCACATTTATTTATTGTCGGTCATGGGGTCTGAATTCAAAAGTGAATTTGAATTTGAATTCTGTATTGCAGTGGGAGCAAGGGAGGCTTCTGGTTGCTGCAGGCCTGGGGCAGGTGGCAGTGGTGGCATCTGCTTGTGCTAGGAAGAGGCCTGACAGCAGAGTGATGACAGTGACTTGTGGGCACTGGGCCCTGTGCTGGTCAAGCTCTGTTTGCATTGGAGGCCTGCTGCCTTCCAGAACCTGCACCCTTCCCTGTGGCCCTTATCAACCCGAAGCGCTAGGAGCTCCAGGCAGCCCAGTCTCAGGCCCTCTCGGTGGTTGGAGGAGGATCTGCACACCCAGTGCTGGCCTTTCTCTGGGCTTCGTCTGGGCTGCAGGCTGTTGCAGCAGCAAAGCTGCCCTCAGACCTGCTGAATGGAGGTGTGGGTGCTGTGTTGCTGTTGAGGGACCTTGGAGGACCACAAGGTAGTTGATCCCCAAAAGGTAGTGCTTATGCTCCTGGTTCCATCTTTCAGGCTCCCCACAGAGGCTGGAGGGTGGGAGCCGTTTGCATAAAGACAGCTTTACCCAGGGGGCATGGGGCCCAGGGAGGGCATGGCATGGGGCTGGTGAGTAGTGCGCCATCCCCCTCCCCCCAAGTATGGTGTGGGAACATGGCACAGGTGTAGCAAGAGAGAATGGGGTCACCACTTTCCCATGCCTGTTGTCCAGTTCAGCAATAAACATGACGAGGCCAGCCTTGTTTTCTATTTCTGCTCCCTTGGTTTCCTGTAAACGGAATGACCTTGGGTCCTGGGCGCTCAGACCCATGGCCATGCTGTTGATTCCTAGAACCTTGGGTACCTATTTAACTTGCTGATGCTGGGACAGGTCCCTCAAAAGTGAGAAGACCATAAAACTGCTCTGCAGAAGGCGGCTGGGAGGAGCCAGTGCCATGGGGTTGCAAGTGGAGACTTCAGGGTGCTCATGCGGGCCCTGAGTGCTCTGGACTCTCCTTGGGGTGCTGCTAGGGTGACTGTTGATTCTTGTCCAGAGCTGCTGGCTGGGCAGGATGGACTGACAGCTCCCTTCCTGCCCTTCCATCCCCAGTACCCTGTGCGTCCAGCCTCGATGACCTACGATGACATTCCACACCTCTCAGCCAGGATCAAGCCCCGGCAGCAGAAGGTGGGCTGCCCTCTGCCCCAGGAGCAGTTGGGAAAGCTGGAGAGGGGGGTGAAGGGAACAGCAGCAGCTCACAGAGTCTGCAGGGGAGGATGGGGTTTCCAGAAGCAAAGGAAGGAGCCGATCCAGATGGAGCAGATGGGCAGGTGCCAGCTCAGGCTCCCTGGACAGGACAGGGGTAGGGTGGAGGAGTCCTGACAGGAAAATCTGACCACCACCAGAGGGATGGTGAGGGGGAGTCCATGCCCGTCTATGGGAGCAGCTGGGGCTCTTGTCCTGGGTGTTCATGGCGAGAAACTCTCCTGACAAGGCCATAGCAGTCTCTGCTTCTTTTCACCCAAACTTGGAGACTGGCTGTTTCTAAAGAATCTCCCCAGTGTTAAACATTGGTGCCTAATTCACATCTTTGGTATGGAATAGGGAGATGGAAAAGGCTATGAACTCCCTGCGGGGCCCCCTTTTCTGTGACATTTCTGTTGCAGTTTGAGGTGGTGGTGTCTTCTACAAAGAGGAATATGTCAGTCTTCTAGACAGAGACTAGGTTGGGGTACCCATGTTGAGCTGTGCATTGGGTCCTCACAGGTGGGGGCGGTGTTTGGTATCCCCAGGTAGAGCTTGAGATGGCCATCGACACCCTGAACCCCAACTATTGCCGCAGCAAAGGGGAGCAGATTGCACTGAATGTGGATGGCACCTGTACCGATGACACCAGCACGTATTCCTCGTGAGTCCCCAGACCCCCGCCCCCCAAGTCTACAGGGACCAGCCTTGGAGACTGGTTCTCTGTTTGCCACTGCCCCACCGCTGGGCACTCCAGTGTTCCCCACCTCCTCCCAAGCTGGCCCCTAGAGACTGCCCACCACAAACAAGGCTGTGAGGTTTTTTTCTCTCTCTCTCTCTTCCTTTCTTCCTTCCTTCCTTCCTTCCTTTCTTTCTTTCTTTCTTTCTTTCTCTCTCTCTCTCTCTCTTTCTTTCTTTCTTTCTTTCTTTCTTTCTTTCTTTCTTTCTTTCTTTCTTTCTTTCTTTCTCTCTCTCCCTCCCTCCCTTCTCTCTCTCTCTCTCTCTCCCTCTCTCTCTCTCTTTCTCTTTCTTTGCCAGTTCTTGGACCTGAACTCAGAGCCTATGTGCTGTCCTTGGCCTTCTTTTTTGTTCAAAGTTAGCGCTCTACTACTTGAGCCACTGACTTTCCTGCCTGAGCTGACTTCAAACCATGATCCTCAGATCTCATTCTCCTGAGTAGCTAGGATTACAGGCATGAGCCCCGTGGCTGTGGGTTTTCTATCTATTGACTCCCTGCCCAAGGCAGACAGAGGCTGCCCTTAGCCTTGGTGCTGGTCCCTGGTTGGTGCATTTCCTAAGTTGGGCTGGGCTCTCCAGGCTCATCTGGAGCTTGACATCCTTCTCCCTATGCTCCCTTCCAGGAAGCTGATGGATAAGCAGACCTTCTGCTCTTCCCAGACGACCAGCAACACGTCCCGTTATGCAGCTGCACTGTACAGGCAAGGTATGGGGCCAGAGAGATCTCAGACCTTGTCCATGTGCACCTTGTGTTTGGCACCTGCTTCCCCTGAGCTGGACCTGCAGACACTAGCCGGTGTGAGAATGAACTGAGGTTTCTAGGGTACTAAAAGGCACTATTTTGGGGGACAGTGCCCAACTTGATAGGATTAGGACTCCAGGCTCGTTTCCTCTTGGTCACAGGTACTCAAGTGCAGCGTAGTATTATTAAATTTGAGGTCAGGTGGTAGAATTTAGTACAAGTTATTAGGACCCAGTGATTCTATTCACGAGAGCCCCAAAGTGGAAGCAACCCAAAGGTCACCAGCCTATGAGTGAGTAAACACAGCAGCAGCATTAGCTGGCCCGTGCCATCATGACGCCCTGACAGACTGTCCCCAGATGAGTCTTGACAGCTCTGAACTCGGTGGAGGAGGCCGGGCTCAGAGGACCACACAGTCTGTGCCCTCTTTTGTGTGAAATATCTAGAATAAGCAGAACCACAGAGACAGAGCCAGTTGGCTTCCAGGCTGGAGGGAAGGACGAAGTGAGGACTAACTGGTTCTTTATTGGGTGATGAAAATGAGCTAAAATTGATTGGCACTGCTGGCATGGTTGTAAATATATTAACATATCCAGTGGTACACTACATAAAACTAATGTAAACCCCAGGAAATGAGAACAAAATCAAAAGCAGGGTCAAAGAACTATAGTCTTGGCTTTTTTTCCCCCTTCATGGCTAGCACTCTACCACTTGAGCCGCAACCTCTTTTGGCTTTTTGGTGATTAGAGATAAGAGTCCCAAGGATTTTGCTGCCAGGGCTGGCTTTAAATTGCGATCCTCAGATCTTAGCCTCCTGAATAGTTGGATTACAGGCGTGAGCCACTGGTGCCCCGCTTACTTAGTCTTTGATTTTGAACTGTATCTCAAGGTTGTAGTTTTTTAAAGCCACATTTCCTGTAGTCAGAATCATATACTCCTGCACTGTACTGTAGCAGGCAAGCTACTTCTGCAGCCACATTAGCATTCGCAAATCGGGGAAGAATGAAAAGGAGCGTTACTGAGTGTCAATGGCTTACACTGTAATCCTAGCTACTCAGGAGGCTGAGATCTGAGGATGGCAGTTTGGAAGCCAGCCTGGGCAGGAAAGGCTGTGGGACTCTTCCACCAGGAAACCGGAAGTATAGCTGTGGCTCACCGTTGTAGAGTGCTGTCCTTGAGCAGAAAAGCTCAGTACTGTCCAAAAAAAAGAATGGGGGCTGGGAATGTGGCTTAATGGTAGAGTGTTTGCCTAACATGCATGAAGCTCTGGGTTTGATTCCTTAGACCACATAAACAGAAAAGGCTGGAAACAGTACTGTGGCTCAAGTGCTAAGAGTGAGCAAAAGAAGCTCAGGGACAGTACCCAAGCCCTGAGTACAAGCCCTAGGACTGACAAAAAAAAGAAAAAGAGAGGAAATCTATTTCCTTGTGGAGTGGGGTAGTGGGAGGAGTCTGGTTAGCTACCCAGGAAGGCAGGAACCAGTAATTCCAGGGAGGCAGGGGGACTGGTTGGGAGGTGGCCTGCAGAAAGTGGCTTTGAGCAGAAACTTTTTGGCTGTCGGCCAAACTGGACTTTGGTGACTTGAGCCAAGCTGGGTGTATTGGCTTTGGTTCCTAGAGGCAGATTCAAGCCCATCTTCCTCTGCCAGGTGAGCTCCACCTGACGCCTTTACATGGCATTCTACAGTTGCGGCCTAGCTTCTCCTACCTGGATAAGGCAGATGCCAAGCACCGTGAGAGGGAGGCGGCCAACGAGGGTGAGCCCTGGCTTCCCTGCCATGCTGTCTTGTCTTCTGTCTGTGGTTTTGGCGGGGTGGCTTGGGTCAGGTTGGGGGACGCTTAGCATCCCTCTGTCCACTCTTGTTACCCCCACACTTGAAGCAACCAAAAAGTCTCACATTTCCATATGACCTGGGGGTAATAACTGTTCCCAGTGGAGACTGCCATTTAGGCATCTGTCTGTTGATTGCTGGCGAGTTCCAGGCGCCTGATCAGTTTCTTGAGGGTAATACTGAAGCAGGGCAGGGCAGGGCAGGGCAAGCAGCCCCAGCAGAGCTGTTAGTGGCTGCTTGCTTCCCTTGCAGCCGGGGACTCTTCACAGGACGAGGCGGAAGAAGATGTGAAGCAGATCACGGTGAGCTCTGGCCCTGGGTGAGGGAAACAGCTTGCACTGAAGGATAGCAAAGGGTGGAGGGCCTGAGCCACAAGGGGCCTACCTGCTCTGGGCGTGGGGGGCATTCCTTCCTGTTGGGTGGCTGGAGGCCAGCTGGCCACCTCTGCTCAGCTAGCTGAGTTGTTGCTCTTAGCAGAACAGCTTTGTTCTATGCAGGAGGGGGACCCTATATACTCTGGTTGTCTTTCTTTTTTTTGGTTCCAGTCCTGGGACTTGAACTCAGGGCCTAATCTTTTTTGCTCAATGCTAGCATTCTACTACTTGATCCATAACACTACTTTGGGCCTTTTTTGGTGATTAATTGATGATAAGAGTCTCAGACTTTTCTTCCTGAGCTGGCTTCAACCCATGATCCTCAAATCTCAGCTTTCTGAGTAGCTAGGATTCCAGGCATGAGCCATCGGCGCCTGGCATGTGGTTGTCTTAAATAGGAAGCTACGGCCTAGGGATCGCCAGTGAGCTCACAAGGCCCCATGTTTATTACGTGATTCCCCTGTACTTTCAGTGGTGCACGGATGACTAGTCACCACCTTAGTGCTTTATCCCAGCCTTTGAGAGAGATGATGAGAATATTAACGGTGTGTCAGGATCCCCCGTTGAAGTGGCTGTAGGTTGCCGTGAGTTTTAAAAGAGAAGTATTGCACAAATCTCAAGAGGCTGACCTGTGGACTGGACGCTGGCTCATCTAACGGATGGTGGAGCCTAAACTGACGATGGTAGCGGGGCTGCAGGAGTCTTGTCCTCTCTGGCAGCTTGTTGGGTGTCCTTACATAGGCTAAGGGTATATTTACGAACCCCATGAGCCTCATGGCAGGACAGATGGAAGCCAGAGCTCTCTTGCCCTGGTCTATCGGAGTGGCTCATAGACAGGATGTGGGTGCCTGTATCAGGAAATGAAGAGCAAGGAGGCGTGGGAATGCCTCCGTGTGGGGCACAGCTTCGGGAAAGCGACAGGCTGAAGGCATGTCACCCCCCACCCCCAGGTGCGGTTTTCAAGGCCGGAGTCGGAGCAGGCCCGCCAACGGCGAGTGCAGTCATATGAGTTCCTGCAGAAGAAGCAGGCGGAGGAGCCCTGGGTCCAGCTGCACTACTGTGGCCTGAGGGTGAGCAGCCCCCACTCTCTTCTCCTCTGCCTCACTTCAGTGCTAAGTCCTGGCCAAGTAGCAGGGAAGTCCTGTGGGTACTTGGTGTTTCTTCTTCTACCCATCCCGCTTAGCTTGCGCCAGGTGTGGGGGTGGAGAGGCCAGCCTAGGGTTCCTGTTTTTTGGGGGCGGGGATCTCCCTCAGGGCACTCGTGGAGTGGGAACAGCTTGCTGGGCTCACAGTGGGGCTAGTGTTTGGTTACATCGCTGTCATCGGGTGCCACCCTAGAGCATCTGCCATCTGTCGCAGGCCTCAAGGTTCTCTGTGTACCTTGGGGCGGGGGGTGGGGGGGAGGGAGGGGATTGATTTGCTCTGTGCCCAATTTTTAGTTCATACACTGGCTTTGGAACCTTACCTTAAAACTGCATGAGAGGCGAGCAGTTGAATATTAGCTCCCCATGCTCGTTTCTCTGGAGCCTTTTGGAAGAGGTTTTTACTCACAGAGCCTCAGACTCAGGGTCAGACTTTCTGTATATACTGTGTATTTCCTACCTTGTGAGTGTAGGCAAGTTACCTAAACCTCTCACCTCTTCTCCTTGTCTGTAAAATGGGAATGGTAAAACTTGGTAGAGTTACTTTGTAGATGAGCTGAGCATATGGCTAGCCATTGGAGTGACCAGAGCCTGCTGCTCAGAGTCTGAGCTAGGATTTGGCTGTTGCTGATAGTGTTTCTGTGTTATAGATAGGGTGTCAAGCAAGGCCTGGGGTCCTGGGCTCAGGTTGAATGGGCCTGAGTCTAGAGTGGGAGGTGAGGCAAAGGTTGAGGGCAGGATTGGAGAGAGGCCTGGAGGGGGGCGTTGCCTGACCTCTCCATCCCATCCCTCCCCGAACAGGATAGCCGCTCAGAGCATGAGCGGCAGTACCTGCTGTGCCAGGGCTCCGGTGGGGTGGAGAACACAGAGCTCGTCAAGTCGCCCAGGTGAGACTGGCGGATGCTGGGACCAAGGCCCCTTCTCTACGTGGGGCAGGGGAGGAAGGGCTTCACCTGGAGCAGCCACTGAGGAAGCTCCTTCCTGTCCGGCAGTGGCTGGTGCTCACGGGGAAGGGTAGAGCTTTTGATCATAGCCATTTTCCTGCAGTGAATACCTCATGATGCTGATGCCACCCAGCCCGGAGGAGGAGAAGTGAGTAAGGGGCTGGGGCTTCTTCCTCACTCCCCTCACCCCCAGCCTCCTCTAACCCGTCACTCACTCCCATGATAACAGAGACAAGCCTGTGGCCCCCAGCAACGTTCTGTCCATGGCCCAGCTGCGGACACTGCCCCTGGCCGACCAGATTAAGATCCTAATGAAGAATGGTAGGTACAGGGGACCCCAGTTCTACCCACTACTGCAGACATGAGTCTGTGGGACAGTCTGAGGTCTCAGGACAAAGCCAGAGGCCCCGCTCCCCAGAGCGCCCAGCTCTGCAGCGCCATCCTGGGCAGGGTAGCAGGCTCCGCTCCATAACTCTGAGCCTTCTTTGACATCTGCCTACTCTGGGGACCTGCAGTAGGTTACTCGACTTTCTGAGTCTCAGATTGTCTATAAAAAAAGTTGAGGATTGTGGTTGGGGGCATGGCTCAGTTGGTAGAGTGCTAGTCAGTGAGCAAAAATACCAGGTGCTGAGTTTGAGACCTGGTCTTGGACCTAAAAAGAAAGCAGCTCACGATGCTTGGGAGGGTTCAAGGATGAGGCGTCTGCAGGGCTGAGTCCTGCATATGACTGGGGACTTGGGTCATTTTAGTGGTAAAGTTCTTCCCCCTGCCCGATATCTGGGTGTCTCCCGCTTTGCCCAGTTGGGACGGCCTTCTTAAAGGCTGAGGGGCTGCCAGCTGGTTCATTGCCAACCCAAGCCCTGGGATCCTCCTCTGAGGTGCCACATGCGTTTCCCTTTGTGCTTGGCAGTGCCAGCAGACCCTGGCATTCTTCAGGGCACTCGGGGCCTTCCCCAGCCTGTGCCCATGCTCGCTTGGGCCAGCAGAGCAGTGACAAAGGGCACAAATACGGAGCCAGAGGTCTGGGTTGAAATTCTGGCTCTGCCACTTTGTCAGGGCCAGGTAAGCATGAGTTTGAACCTTCTCTAGGCTGAGGAGTGAGTCTTCTTCCTCCTTTATGTTTGTTTGCCTTCCTCGCTGATTGCTTCTTGCCCACGAGCAGTCAGCCAGCGACAGCCATCACTGTTCAGGATGCCCCTGTTACTCTTGTTCAGAGGCGGCTACGGGAACCTGGGGCTGGGCAGACTGTGACAGGGAGAGGGGAGGGCCAGGCCTCTCCTTGGGTCTCCTGAGCCTTTGTCTCCTATGTTTACTTCAGTGAAGGTCATGCCTTTTGCCCATTTGATGAGCCTGCTGGGCCCCTCGGTGGACTCCGTGGCTGTTCTGCGTGGCATCCAGAAGGTGGCGATGTTGGTCCAAGGAAACTGGGTGGTGAAGAGGTAAGCTGCTCTGGATGATCCATTTAAGTTCGATGTAATTGATGATTTCTTGGGTCTAAACCCTGCCATAATATTTTCTACATACTCTGCCTATAATTAGTATTTTTAATGTTATTTAGAAAAATATTTTAAAAATTGGAATGGAGAAAGCTGTCTTTATTTGAGAGACATTTGTCAGAGACATCTTGAAATATTTTCCTACCCTCCAAAGAAAAGTGAAATTCTTCAGGCACTCAGATCACCCCACTAGGACATGGGTGGCTTTTTGTATGGCCAGGTGGCCAAGGGAACATAGCAGCTGCTGGAAACGTGCAGGAACCAAGGGAATTCTGAGTCTCCAGGTACTCCTCCTGTCTGTGCTGTTTGCCCTCTGTTTCCTCTCCAGAGGCATAAGGTAGTTCAGGAGGAAAGAATGAAGTTTCTGTTCTCCAGTTTTGGTGGCTGAATGGATATTACATTCATTTTACCTTCTACTAGGTTTGGTTTTGTGTGTGTGTACGGGAACTGAGACTTGAACTCTCCCTTGGCTTTTTCGCTCAAAGCTGGCATTCTACTATTGGCGCTAAATTGCCTTCAGTCCAGCCTTTGGCTGGCTAATGGAAGATTGTCTTACAGACTTTTCTACCCAGATTGGCTTTGAACCTTGATGCTCAGATCTCAGCCTCCTGCATAGCTAGAATTACAGACATGAGCCACTGTCCTGGCTTTGTCTTGTTTTTGTTTAAAGGCAGGGTATTATTGTGGAATCCAAGCTGGCTTGAACTCAGAATCTCCTAACCAGGTCTCTGGTGCCTGGGATTATAGACATGGGCATATATGTGTACTGCAATACCTGGGTGTCTTTTTGTGTTTTGTTTTTTTCATTTTGATTCTTTAGTGGTTACATTGTAGTTTCAGCTTGCAATCATCGCTTTTTACCCTCTTTTAAGATAGTTCAGAATCTTAGATTGGTTTGTTTATCCTTCTCTGCTCTCTGCTGCAGGGTTGGTGTATTTTTCTTCTGACTATACTCCCCACAAGCCAAAACTTAACCAGTTAGCTGTCTTTATATCTGCTCACATGTTTCTTTCCCTTCTTCTGCTTGTTATTCCTGAATCACTTCTGTTTGTTTCTATCAGAATAATGTCCTTCTGCCTGAAAAGTGCTTTATCTGGAAACGTCTGGTGTGTGTAGCGGGTTGGGTGGGTACTAGGGCTTCAAGTCTGGGCCTGGATGCTGTTTTTTAAACTTTTTTTTTTTTTCCGGTTGTGGGGCTCGAACTCTGGGGCCTGGGCGCTGTCCCTGAGCTCTTCAGCTCAAGGCTAGTGCTTTACCACTTGAGCCACAGAACTACTTCTAGTTTTCTGGTGGTTTATTGGCGATAAGAGTCTCACAGACTTTCTTTCCCAGGCTGGCTTTGAACCACTATCCTCAGTCTCAGCCTGAGTAGCTAGGATTATAGCCGTGAGTCACTAGCGCCTGGCTTGTTTTTTAGCTTTTTTGCACAAGGCTGTGCCACTGAGCCACACGTCCACTTACAGCTTTTTGATGGTTAATTGGAGACAAGAGTCTCATGGACTTGACTGCCTGCTCTGGCTTGGAATCACAATTCTCAGATCTGAGCCTCCTGAGCGAGCCCTGCTCACTTTTCTTCTTGAAGAATGTTTTTATGGAACGTAGAATTAATTCCTGAGGTGATTTCTTCCCTTCACACACAAAGATTTGCCCTGTGCTGACTTTGTTTTTGTTAGAAGTCTACTGGCAGTCTGATCCTTGTTGAGTTGAGGTCTTCCTTTGTTTACCTTAGGCTGCTTGGGAGAGTTTGTCTTGCTGCAGTTTCTTTACACCATGGCAGAGGGTGGATTTCTTCTTCCATGGCCTCTTTGGGTTCATAGTTGATAAGTTGTGACTGGATGCCATTCCATAGTTTCCTTTCTCCTGTGCTTCCTCCCCTGACTGCCATTTCCCACCGTATGTCCCTAGTGCCCATTATGGCTTCTAGCACACGCAGCCCCCTTAGTAAATACAGGGTGTCACTTGAAGTAAGTATATTGGTAAAAACTCACTTTTTTTGAGTAATGTGGTGCTAAGGTAAATAGTACAGTGAAGTGTCAGAAGCTGTACTTTTTTTTTAAGCTGCACATTTTTTTTTTCAAAAACGAATTCACTGCACAAAGTTCCATCATTTCACAATGGGTTGTCCAAAGCCGTTTATAAAGTGCGTTTGTGTTACTGCTCCGTGGTGGTGCCCTTTCAGTGTGCTGCCTGTTGTCCTCATTTGCCCAGACGTTCCCTGTGGAAGAGCTTTGCCCTGGCCCTTCATCCCTTGTTAAGGGACACTTACCTATGCCACATAACTCTGCCACAGAATCCGCGAGTGGCCGTCCCATCACGCACCTAAGGACTAGCCCAGGGGCAGGGTATCGGTGTCTCACTGCAAGTCCTCCACAGAGCTGTTGTTTGTTTTGTTCTGGTTGGTGTGTGCGCACATAACGTGCCACATCCCCATATCCATGAAGCTCAACTGTTTTATTTTGATGGTATTGACATTGGAACTCAGGGCCTTGCATGTGCTTTGCAGAGCCTCTCCCATTTGAGCCATGCTCCCAGCCCTGGAGGTCAGCTTGAGTGCATAGGTCCTAGGTGTCTGCTGGCCCAGGACTGGACAGGGGGCAAGAGGACCTTCAAGCAGAGGCACCAAGCCAGGGGAGCGGAGGCCAGGCCAGGGCTAAGGATGGGATGGGGTGGAGTCACACTGGAGACCCTCTAGCTTTTACCCTGTCGTTCCCAATGTTTGCCAGGCCCATCCTCTGATCTGTGACTTCAGCTCACACATACCTGCCCAAAGGCCTTTGTATCTTTAATTATAATTTATTTAGTATCTGGAAGTAGTCCTACCAAGAGGTTTTTGTTTCGTTTTTGCTGCCAGTCCTGAAGCTTGAACTTAAGGTCTGGGTGCTGGCCCTGAGCTTTGTGCTCCAATCTAGCATTCTGCCATGAAGCCATAGCTCCACTTGTGGCTTTTTGGTGGTCAATTTGAGATAACGGTTATGGGGATTTTCCTGCGCAGGCTGGCTTTGAACTACCATTCTCAGATCTGAGCTCTTGAATAACTAGGATTACAAGCCTATGCCCCGGTGCCTGGCTTACAAAGAGGTTTAATCCATGAATGAGTATAATGCATCTTGTTTAGTATCACCTTGATGCCATATATAACTTTACATGGATTTCCCCTGTGGGCTCTGGGCAGAGTTCTTGGGGTGCAGTGTGGCATACTGCCCTTTCTCACGAGGGGGGGGGTCGAGGATCGAGGATGGGGACTGACCAACTCCTCCTTCCCCTTGTCTGGCAGTGACATCCTGTACCCCAAGGACTCCTCCAGCCCTCACAGCGGGGTCCCTGCTGAGGTGCTCTGCCGAGGCCGAGACTTTGTGGTAAGTACCCAGGTTTTGGCCCTGGTGCAGGTGTGGAAGCTGCCCTGCGAGCTTCCCCTCTGCCTTTCTCCTTCCTCAGACCCTTTGTTCATTGGCCAAGCAGTACTTTACCAGTCTTGCCTGCATTGTGGATCTGGGCAGATGAGAGTGGTAGATTTCTAGTGGTCATGAATAATTGGGCACTCTGGCCCTACGGAGTCCATAACCTACAGGGTCCAGGACGTGTGGCTCCCCTCCCAGATGCAGAGTTTAAACGCCCCTGCAGGGTGCCAGGCTCCAGGTCTTAGGGATTTGCACTGCCTCCTTAGAGCTTGGAGCTTCCTGAAACTTGTCCTTTGGAGCTGTCCATGGTGACTTCTGCCCACCCACGGGCCGGCCTTGTCCCAGGGAGCTTGGAGTCGGTGATTTCTCGCAGTTCTTGTGGGCAGTTAGTGGGTCTGGTGGGTGTGACTTCATCTGTGGGGTCCAAGTGCCTCAAATCCCCATGCCCAGTGCCCACCCCCTCTGCAGGGAAAGGGCTAGATCTCAGACACCCACCCTCACCTCTGCCAGGTACCCTGTGAAGAAGGCAGGGGATGTGAGAATTTCCAGGGTGGGGTGAGGCTCGCGGGGTGTGGGGGGTTTCCGTGAAGTGGCACGCCAGGCTGCCCATGCAGAGTGCCCGGGGTCGTGCCAGGCCCAGAGTCGCCTACCAAATCGTGACATGTTTCAGGAAGCACTGGGGATGTGGCAATGACGAGGTGGACAGAGCCTGGCTTATGGGGCGCTTTGGTCCCTGTGGAGTAGAAGATGGACTCTGTACCAGCAGAGGGGTGGAGGAGACACAGAGGTGGAGGACTCGCTGCCAAGGCCCGTGGCTGGGGCAGAAGTGTGCGGAGCACCCTGGGTCCATGTGCCCAGGGCTGCTGCAGGCTCCAGCCGTCCTCTCACACCACCTCTGGGAACCTGCTGCTTTTCTCCCTCAGATGTGGAAGTTCACACAGAGCCGCTGGGTGGTGAGGAAGGAGGTGGCAGCAGTGACCAAGGTAAGTGACGTCCTCCCGAGCCCCGGGGCCCGCTTGCCAAAGGCCCCCAGGAGGGTGGGCCTCACTCGCTCCTCCCTGCAGCTCTGCGCGGAGGATGTGAAGGACCTGCTGGAGCACATGGCTGTGGTGAGGGTCAACAAAGGCTGGGAGTTCATTCTGCCCCACGATGGGGAGTTCATCAAGAAGCATCCAGATGTGGTTCAGCGGCAGCACATGCTATGGACGGGCATCCAGGCCAAGTAAGAGTTGCAGGGTGGGATGAAGGCAGAGCCAGGAGGCAGGCGAGAGCCACGGCCCTGAGCAGTTCTCCGTGCTGGTGGATAGCCCCCGAACCCTCCCAACACAGGACCCATACTGGTCACAGCCCCCAGTGAGCAGAGCTGCGAGTTCCCGTGGCCTTGGGAAGGGAGGGAGAGGCATCGGGCCCTGGCATCACCTGCCCTGGCCCAGCTCTGCTGCTGTCCAGGGACTACAGCGTCTGGGCTTCGAGGGCTTGAGCGTATTAAGCAGCAATCAGGGTCATGCCTTAGAGTTCAAATGCTTCTCTTTTCTTTCCAGGTTAGAAAAAGTCTATAATCTTGTGAAGGAGACCATGCCAAAGAAGCCAGACGGACAGGCAGGTGGGTGGGGCTTTGGGCCAGGTAAACCTAGCTCAGTCCTTCTGGCCCAGAATATAGGTCTTGGTGGGGATGTGTGGCTTTCGCTGTTCCCCTCCCTTCTTCCTTCCACAGTCAGCGGGGGGCAGCCCCTGAGGCCTGTGTCCTCCGGAGCTGGGTGTGGGCTCTGTCCAGTCTAGAGATTGGCGATGCCACTCCACACGTGGAACTTGACATACCACAGCCTCCTTCCTCCTGGAGGGGTAGCCCAGTCCCACCTGAGCCCGGTGTGGGAGAGAAAGCACTTGGCTCCTGACGTCAGCCCTTCACCCCACAGGGCCTGCGGTGCTGATCTCCGGGGAGCAGCGAGTCCAGGTAGCCAAAAGCAAGGCCCAGCAGAACCACGTACTTCTGGAGCGGGAACTGCAGCGGCGGAAGGAGCAGGTGCAGGGACCTGCAGTCCTGACCAGTGTGCAGATCAAGCAGGAGCCACTGAGTGAGGAGGGAGAGGATGAGGATGAGCAGGATGTGGAGGAGGAGGAGCCCATGGACACCACACCCAGTGGAGGTGGTGGCCTCAGCAACAGGCTGGCCAATGGGCTTCCTGCCGGGCGGGCTCTGGCCGGGGACAGCTTCAATGGGCACCCGCCCCCCGGCTGTGCCAGCACCCCCGTAGCCCGGGAACTCAGGGCCTTTGTGACGGCCACCTTTCAGAGACAGTTTGTGCTCACACTGAGTGAACTGAAACGCCTCTTCAACCTGCACCTGGCCAGCCTGCCGCCCGGCCACATGCTCTTCAGTGGCATCTCGGACCGCATGCTGCAGGACACAGTGCTGGCCGCGGGGTGCAAGCAGATACTGGTGCCTGTAAGTAGAGGCTGTGCCCGAGCACAGTGCATTGTGGGGGGTAGAGGGGTGTGGTGTTGATGGGCTTCTAGAAGCTCCACATGAGTGGGCAGCGCCCTCAGCACGTGTGTGGTGGCTACATGAGTACCTCAGTGGGGCTCCACATCCCCCTCTGAAGTGGGGTGCTGCTAGGTTTTGTGTCACAGGACTTTGGGAAGAACCACATGGGGCTTGAAGGGCGTGGCTCGCGGTGAGGGTTAGTGAATAGGCTCTTCTTGTGGAGATCTCACCTCCCGGGAAGCAAGTTAAGGGTTACTGCATTGCATGCTTCAGTGACCATGAATCAAGCCTTCTCCACAGCTTGGACGTGGGTCCTGGTGGGCCACTGGTACCCAGGCTTTTGTCCTGCCAGCCAGGAGGCCTGTAATGGCGGCATTTGGTGGAGCCCTGTGTGTGGATGTGGTCCTTTGGCAGGGATGAGGTGCCCAGCCATAGCCTAAAGGAGACCATGGTGGAGGCTTTCTCCTCCTAGGCACTACTCAGCCCTGGCAGCAAATGGGCTAAGGGGAGGCAGCCCACCTCTCAGATGAGGGAGAGTTGACGTGGATAGCGCCAGGGCCCGGTGACCCCTGTGGTACTCAAGGCCAGTGGGGAGCAGAAACTAGGGCAGGAGGCCCTGTGGATCCCAGGCCGGCCAGCCGCCTCCCGGGGCCTGGCCCTGTTGGCAGGGAGCCTCCTTGGCAAGGTCTCTAGAAGGTACTGAGATTTGGGGCCCAGCAGGTGGGTGTCGCTCTCTGCTGACCCTTCTGTGTGCGCTGGGCCGCATGAGGGCAGGGCATCAGCCTGATGTCTGTGAGTTGCCTGCCACAGGCACGGGCTGGGCAGGTGCGGAGGGTATGGGCTGCTCAGGTGTCCTGGCACTCTCCCCGCACCTGCGCATCCTCCTCCTTGGTTGGCCCGGTCTCTGCAGGGAGCCCCCAGGTCTTGACTGGCCAAGAGGCTTCTCTTTTTACATAAGAGAGGAAGCCTAGGAAAAGCAAGGAGACTCTCACTTTAAGCTGAGTGCGATAGCCTTGCTTGTGATCCCAGAATTGTAAGTTGGAAGCCAATTTGGGCTAAGGAAACCCTGTCTCAAAAAGAGGGCCACGTGGGGCTGGGAAGGTGGCTCAGTGGTAGAGCGCTTGCCTTGCATGCATGAGGCCCTGGGTTCGAATTCTCAGCACCACGTAAGCAAAAAGAAAAAAATCTGGGAAGTAGCGCTGTGGCTCAAGGGTAGAGCGCTAGCCTTGAGCTGAAGAGCTGAGGGACAGCGCCCAGAGTTCAAGCCCCACAACTGGACCCAAAAAAAAAAGAGGCACATGTGCCAGTGGCTCATACCTATAATACTAGCTGCTGAGGAGGCTGAGATCCAAGGATTAAAGTTGAAAGCCAGCCTATGCAGAAAAGTGAGATTCTTAGCCCCAGTTAACCATCACAAAGCTGGAAGTGGGGATGTGGCTCCACTGGAAGAGCACCAGCCTTGAATGAAAAGAGCTCAGGAACAGCACCCAGACCCCGAGTTCCAGCACCAAAAAACAAAACAAAACGCTACCCTGTTCTTCGTCAGCTGCACGGCCTTGGCTTGCCTTCTTCCTCTTGGAGACATGGGCTCAGCAGTACTCTGGTACTGCATGGTTTCTTATGATTAATTGATACTGTATAAAGCCCACATCAGCGTTTCCAGAACTGTGGCTACTCATGGTTTGGGGAAACCCCTCCCCCCGTTTTTTTCTTCTCCCCTCTGTAGGTCAGGTCTGTGCCACCCCTTTCCCAGTCCACCTGTGGACCCTGCCGAACCCAGTGGCCTGGGGGACTCCAGAGTGAGGCGGGGCCTCTGGGCCTTGCATGGTCCTCAGGGAAATGCAGCGATGGTCTGGCCCTTCAGGGTAGAAGGCTGTAGGCAGGGTTGAGCTCGTGACCGTTGGTAGGAATCTGAAGCTGGCTGCCTCCATCCGGGGCCATGGGGGGGCGTCGCGCTCGCCTGGTGGCCAGTGAGCTGCAGGGCTGGGCTTGGAGCACAGCTTCCCAGGCTGGGGGCGGGGGGCGGGCAGGGCAGTGGGGCTGCATGGCCGACAAATGACCAACTCACACTTGGGCCTGGGCCAGTTTCCCCCACAGAGTGCTGCTTCCCCGGACGAGCAGAAGGTGTTCGCCCTCTGGGAGTCTGGAGACATGAGTGATCAGGTGAGGCAACCTTTGCTTGTCTTCCTGGGAGTCGGGGCGGGGCTGTACCCCGTCGTTCTGGCTGTCAGCCTTCCCGGCCACTCTACCGCTCCAGCGAGGCCAGCCACGGCAGGAAGCAGACCTTGTGATCCTGAACGCCAAGGGTCACATGCAGTAGATGCACAGTTGAACAAATGAAGTGGGTTTCTGGGACGCACCTAGCGTTGGGTGGCACTGGCAGTGGGTCGCGTAGCAGCCTCCACACAGCTCCTCTGGGGCAGGGACACCCACGGGGTTTTGTAGCCTGGGAGCAGAGAAATGTTCTCAGGAGCTGCTGGCTGTGGGATTCTAAAGCGTTCCTCTGCAGGTCCCAGGCTTGGATTTTAAGTTAGAGAAGTTGATTATTTTAACGAGCCACATCTTGGCAAGTGTTCAGAGAACAGAAATGTGAATTCAATAGTGGCTCTGTGTTTGTAGCTATGGAGCCTGAGCCACCCCCATTCCCCAACCCTGCCCCAAGTTTTATTGATCTAAAGATAACTTTTCTGAACGTGAAAGGTTGGCTGAAGAGAGTGACTTAATAAATTTAAAGCACTCATTTCAAATAGTATTTTATAGTCCTGAGGGGTGTGTCTGTGTGTGTGCGTGTGTGCACGCACGCACACATGCACGTGCGTACATGTACGTACATGCACCTGTACTGGGCTTGAACTCGGAGCCTGGGGGGCTATGTCTAAGCTCCTTTTTGCCCAAGGTTAGGGTTAGTGCTCTCTACTGGTTGAGCCATGGCTTTACTTCCAGTTTTTTGGTGGTTAACTGGAGATACGAGTTTCATGGATTTTCCTGACCAGGCTACCTTTGAACTTCAGGTCTCAGTCTCCTGAGTAGCTAGAATTACAGCCAGGAGCTACTGGTGCCCAGTGGGTATTGGTTTGGGGTATAAGGCATTCTTCAGCCTTCTGTTTCTTAGATGTGGTGGTAATGTGGCTACCCTTGCTCGTTAGACTCCTCTCTCAGGGTTTGTTCTGGAAGTATGTCCATACTGTTTGTCCTCTGGGTCCTTCTGCCCCTCTCTTGTTCGTGTATGCATCAACCCTGACCAGGGTCTGAAGCAATGGCAGTTGGGGAGACGTGCTTATCTTTGGTTAGGGGAGGTGGGTGAGGGCTGTTAGTAGAGACTGTGCTGGGTATCTTGGGGAGGTTCACTTTGGGAGCACTGTTTCCTGTAATAACACATCTCTACTACTAAAGCATCGACAGGTTTTGCTTGAAATTTTTTCCAAAAATTACCGGGTGCGCCGGAACATGATCCAGTCTCGGTTGAATCAAGAGTGTGGAGAAGATCTAAGCAAACAGGAAGTGGATAAAGTGCTGAAGGTATGTCCACCACTCACGCATTGTCATACCTGTGGCCTGGGCTCAGTCACTGGCAGCACAAGGTTGCCAGCTGTGTGGCAAGTACCAGAGTTCCACTGGGTGTGTATTACGTCAGCTGCTCTGGCAGTCAACAGCTGCTGGTGGGTAGGCATTGTGCATTGAGCATGTGGATGGGGGGTCACCCTCTCAGAACAACACATGCATTAGAACCCTGACTCCATCCTTGCAGCTTACACCATTTCCCATTGATGCCACAGGCTTCACAACTGTGGTGTAAGCTTTCAAGAGACCTATGTGTGTGTTAGGGCTTAGACTCAGGGTCTAGTTGCTGTTTCTCAGATTTTTTTGTTCAAAGCTATAGTATTCTATCACTTGAACCACAGCTCCATTTCTGGCTTTTGCTGGTCAATTGAAGATAAGGGTCTCATGGACTTTTCTGCCCAAGTTGTCTTTGAACTTTGGTCCTCAGGTCTCAGCCTCCTGAGTAGCTAGGATTACAGACCAGAGTTACCAGTACCAGCATAGAATCCTTTTTATGGGTGTGCCATTCATGAGGTTTGGACTCCACTTCTGCTCTCTGATGGTTAATCAACCCTCAACAAACTTTTCTAAATGACTCATCATTTTGAGTACCTCTGGTCTGCATTGTTTCTTTAGGAAAAAGAAAAGAAAATTTCCTTCTAATTCCTTCTCATTAGAATCTATAGGTTCCTCCATTTGCCATCTTTTTTTTTGGTGTTCTTCAGCTCAAGGTAAACACTCTACCACTTGAGCCACAGCGCCACTTCCGTTTTTTTTTTCTCATGGTTAATACTCACGCAGACTTTCCTGCCCTGGCTAGCTTTGAATGATTGCCCCCGCCCTTTTTTGTGTGTTTGTTTCTGGTCAGTTGTGGAGCTTGAACTCTGGGCCTGGGCTCTGTCCTTCAGCTCTCCAGCTCAAGGCTAGCGCTCTGCCACTTGAGCCACAGCAGCACTTCTGGTTTTCTGTTGATTAATTGGAGATCAGAGTTTCACAGACTTTCCTACCCTGTCTGGCTATGAACCATGAGCTTTAGATCTCAGCCTCCTGAGTAGCTATGATATAGGTGTGAGCCACTGGTGCCTTTTTTTTTGGGGGGGGGGTCTGGTCATGGGGCCCGAACTCTGGGCCTGGGCGCTGTCCCTCAGCTCTTCAGCTCAAGGCTAGCGCTCTACCACTCGAGCCACAGCGCCACTTCCAGTTTTTTTCTTTTTGCTTATGTGGTGTTGAGGAATCGAACCCAGGGCCTCAGGCATGCAAGGCAAGCGCTCTACCACTGAGCCACCTTCCCAGCCCCAGGTGGTGCCTAACTTTTATCCCTGTATTTGACCTGTTACCTTGAACACTAAAGGCACTGAATTCTGGTTAATTAAGGTCTTTGTTCTGGTTAATTTAGCAATATTTGATATTTATAAAGCACATTTATTTTGTAGTTCTTGTTAAAATATCCTAAGACAAAGGCACCAAGCCTCAGAGAAGAGAGGATATTTACTGCAGCAGCATACTTAGCTTATCATGTGTCACATTTATTCTACCCAGGAATCACACATCTGCCCCCATCCCTCTGGACATACAGACAAGTTTTCTTTTCTGCCAGGATCTGTCCTTTAACCTGTTTCTCTTCTTTCCTGTAGGACTGCTGTGTAAGCTATGGAGGCATGTGGTACCTTAAAGGGACAGTACAGTCTTGACAATAGTAGCAGACCCCTAACCCAACCAATAGCCAAGCCAAGGAAGGGTGGCGGAGCCGGGCATAGAGCCTCCACTTGCCTGAGAAGACACAGAGCAGTAGGCACTGCCCGCCTCATGGCCTGCGGCCCTGCCCTGCCCAGCCCAGCGGAGAACAGCAGGGTCGGCTTCAGTGAGATCGTGCCCAGCGGAAACCAGCTGGACCTCTGCAGTACAATTTGAAGTTCCTCATGTATTGTGCTTATTATTTGGTTCATTCTCCTAATAAAGAGAGTGTATGCTGACTGGGGCAGGATGATGAAAATCATGGTTTCATATTTTCCTTTTCAAACTTAATTGCCAACAAAGTACAAGTTATGTTTACAAGATGAAGAGAAAAAAAAAAACCTCAAGGTTTTTGTATTTAAAAGTCTACAAGCCAATATCTAATCTTGCTAAGACTTCTGCCAATTTCATTAAACCAAATTGAATGGTTTCCTGGTTGGGTTTCGGTGACCGTGTTACCTTTTACAACACCTACTTTACATCACAGTCTCAGCTGTTTACAAAATTAGGATCAGACCATCTCCTCGAAATGTTTGCACAAAGAAGGAAACAAAACCAGGTAAGTGTGGAGCGGTATCAAGTGAGCTTATCACACTTTGATGTAAAAAAATTTCTATTTTGTGTATTTTAAAAATAAATGCTGACACTAAACTGGCATCTTGGTGCTGCTGTCATTTCGGGGGTACCCTTGAGACATTAGTGTACTATTGAGAGACCTAGGAGTAGTTTGAAGGCCTGTGGACTGTATCGGCCTGTAACAGTAGAAAACAGGTTAAATTCACATGTACTTCAGTCTCCTATCAAACCCCAGATGTAATTTTAAAACCAACTTTTTTTTTTTTTGCCAGTCATGGTGCCTGAACTCTAGGCCTGGGCACTGTCTGTCCCTCAGCTCTTCAGCTCAAGGCTCTACCACTTGAGCCATAGCACCACTTGCTTATGTGGTGCTGAGGAATTGAACTCAGGGCCTCATGCATGCAAGGCAAACACTCTACCACTGAGCCAGCCCCTAAAAAACAAAACTTTTTTGCATTGCTCTCTGTGTGAAGTCCTTCAAGTAGAACGTTTGCATTTGCATTCATGTTAGCATTCCTGTTAGGCCCTGACCACAGTGTTAAGAGGTGGCTTGTCTTTGGGACAGCATGGGCACCAGCAGAGCCTCATACTAAGAGGAAGGAAGGCAGTGAACACTTGCAGGTGGAATGTATAGAAATAATAACTGAACCGGAGGGTTGAGGAATTGGAGAGATAAAGGCCGGAGCAGAGCCTAAGGTTGTTGGTCCACAGGATGACTGCCTTAAGGGGAGAATTAAATACATGTAATAGAACAAAAGATGACCAACTTTCTTGACATAAATTTTGTGTGTGTGTGCTGGTCCTGGGACTTGAACTTGGGGCCTGGGTGCTGATCCCTGAGCTTTTCTTGCTTGAGGCTGGAGCTTTATCACTTGAGCCACAGTTCCTTTGTTAGGTGGTTAAGTGGAAAGAAGAGCCTCAGGGACTTTACTGACCAGGCTAGCTTAGAACCTCGATACTCAGCATGAGCTGCCAGTACCCAGCTTGACTAAATTGTTAAAGCAAGATCCTTGGTAAATAGGACTGACAAACATGGCACAATTAAATATTCTGAATACACCACAGCTGTTAATTGTAAAACATCGACTTTTTTTTTAGATATTTATCGAGAATAATAAAAGGTACTCTTCATGAGACTTCAACAAGACACGTGAACCGATCATCCTCTTTATATACAATAGCTTGGAAAAGATGTGTGCTTACTGGGGCTTGAACTCAGACCTTGGGTGTTGCCCTTTCTTACTTGCTCAAAGCTAGAACTCTCCCACTTGAGCCACAGCTCTACTGCTGGCTTTTTGCTGGCTAATTGGAGATCAGTCTCCAGGAGTTTCTTGCCCAGGCTGGGTTCAAACCCTGGTTTTCAGATCTCAAGTCTCCTGAGTAGCTAGGATTACAGGTGTGAACCATCACCCAGTTCAGCCAAGATCTGAAAAGTGTTTAAAAAATGTTGACTCACAGGATAAAAAAAATAAATGTACTTGAACAAATGCAAAGCCCTCCTTTATGGGCAGAAGTCTGTATACATTTATGTTCACCCCAAAAGCCAAGTGCGGCGGCTCACCCCTGTAGTCCTAGCTACTGACTAGGCCAAGATCTGAGGATTGCGATTGGAGGCCAGCCCAGGCAGAGAAATCTGATACTCTATCTCCAATGAACCATCTCAGAGCTAGATATAGTAGTGGGGGTTGTGGATAGAGCACCATTCTTGAGCATAAGAGCTCAGGGACAGCACTGGCACTGAGTTCAAGCCCCAGGATGAGAACAAAAATAATACAAGCCAGGCACCAGTGCCTCATGCCTGTAATCATAGCTATTCAGGACTCAGATCTAAGAGTATCAGCTTGGGCAGAAAAATCCTGGAGACAGCTCTAATTAAACAGCAAAAAGCTGGAAGTGGGGGAGTGGCTCAAGTGGTAGAGCACCAGCATTAAGCCTAAAGCACTCAGGCCTCGAGTGTGAGTCCCAGTGTTGTCAACAAAAAATATGCAATCTCAGGGAGCTTTCCAGCCCTGAGAGAGGGTGAGCTTACACTAACAAGCCGCAGGCCTATCCTCGTTCCCATAGATAGCTTTATTTGGCGCTTAGAAAAATATATACAACCATCAGGACCTCAGTTCTCTTAAATATTTGTCTTAAATTAGAAGTATGCGAGCGCGCGGGTGAGCAGGCGTCGGGGTCCCCGGAGTGCTGCGGGAGCTGGAGCGCGCAGGCGCAGGTGCAGGTGCGCGCGGGCGCGGGAGCGCGCAGGCGCCGCCGGCCAGGCCGCTCTCCTTCGCTCCAAGGCCGGCAATGGCCTTCACGCCTCTCCTCAGGGCTGGGTCTGTTCTGGGGCTTGAACTCGGGGCCGTGCTTGTCCCTTAGCTAACATCTACACGTGAGGGGCGGGAGAGCCTCCCCGGCGAGGCTGACGTTCTTCGCAGTGCGGTGAGTTCACAGTGTGAACCTTCCCCGCGGCGGCGGCGGCCGCAGGGCGGGGCTAGAGCGGGGCGCGGGGCGGGGCTAGAGCGCGGCGCCGGACTGCGGCTGCGCGGGGGACGGCTGCGCCGACGGCGGCTGCGCCGACAGAGACCGGTACTTGGTTCTCTGCTCGTCGATCTCCTGCTTGGTCTTCTTGATGCAGCTGAAGATCTCCTGGAAGAGCGCCTTGTACTCGGGCGGCGTGCCGGGGCTCGGGGGGCCGCGCGGGGGCTCCGGGGCGCCGGCGGCCGGCTCCCTGGCGGCCGGGGCCCGGGAGGAGGTCTGCACGGCCTTGTGAGACAGCGAGTCCGGCTCGGGCTGGCACCTGCGGAGCAGCGCCTCGTACTTCTCCTTCAGGGCGCTGTACTGCGAGTCCACCTCGTGCAGCAGGGAGACGCCCCTCTGCCGCACGGCCTTGGCCCGGCGGATGCACGTGTGCTCGTGGCCGCTGGCCGCGTCGGCGCCGGCCGCGCTGCTGCTGAGGACCGTCTCGCTGCTGCTGCGCTTGAGGGGCCGGCGCGGCGCCTCGGGGGTGCCCAGGAAGATCTCCTCCAGCAGGCTCTGGCCGGGCTCCTTGAACGGCACGAACAGGGCGTCGGGGACCAGCTTCTCCACCCCGCCCGTGAAGGGGTGCTCGGCGCGCAGCCGCTGCCGCATGTCGGCCACCTCGGCCTCCAGCTCGAGCGCGCGCGCGCGGCAGGCGTCGGCGCCGCGCAGGCGCTGCTCCAGCTCGCGGTTCTCGGCCAGCACCAGGCCCAGCTCCTCCTCCAGCGCCGCGCGCTTGCGCCGCTCGGCGCCCAGTTGCGCCTGCAGCGCCGCCACCGCCCGCTGCAGGTGCGCGTTCTCCTCCTCCTCCGGGCTCTGCTGGCTCTGCAGAGACGCGATCTTCTCGGCGAACACGTGGTCGTACACGAAGTGCCTGCGGGGGGGGGGGACGGGGTGTGACCACAGGGCCCCCCCTACTGTGTGCACCCCCCACCCCCGGGAGGCTGGGAAAGACACGGCCATGAAAAGTACCACAAGCCGGGCATCGCTGGCTCACACCTTTAATCCTGGCTGCGCGGGAGGCTGAGACCTGAGCATCGAGCTTCAAGGCCAGCCCAGGCGAGGAAAGGTTGTGAGACTCTTACTCCAATTAACCATAAAATGCTGGAAGCGGCGCCGGGGCTCAGGCGGCAGAGCAAGCCTTGAGCTTTTAGAAGGCCCCGGGGCCCAGAGTTCAAGCCACAAGACCGGCACACACAGACTGGTTCGTGCCTACAGGCCTGACCGCTCAGAAGGCTGAGATCTAGAGGACTTGAGTTTGAGGCTGAAAAGTTTAAGACTCCATCCCCAAAGGAACCAGCAAAAAAGCCAAACCACCATGTGGCCTTGAGTTTAAACCGGAGCCCTCCACTTCCAAAAAGATCTAAATGCAACCAAATTATAAAGGCGTTGTTTTTCAGTCAAACCATCTGTCTGCCTAGGTATTTTTTTTTTTTGGTTTGGGGCTGAAAGTCAGGGCCTCATGTTCTCACGTTTTCACTCAAGGCTGGCATTCTACCACTTGAGCCACAGCTCCACTTCCAGCTTTTTGCTGGTTAATTGGAGCTGCATCTGCCAGGGCTGCCTTCAAACCGTGATCCTGAGAACCTGGCCTCATGAGTAGCTAGGATTACAAGGTTGGTGTTTTTTTTGGTCGGTTATGGGTCTTGACCTCTGGGCCTGGGCGCTGTCCCTCAGCTCTTCAGCTCAAGGCTAGTGCTCTACCACTTGAGCCACAGCGCCACTTCCGGCTTTTTCTGTTTATGTGGTGTTGAGGAATCGAACCAGGGCCTCATGCATGCGGGGCAAGCCCAGGGGCTACCACGGAGCCAACTTCCCAGCCGCAGGATTACAGGTTTGAGCCACCAGTGTCCCCACCTTGCCTGGAGTTTTGTTTCTCCTGAAATGTCACACTAATGTGAAACACACCCCAAAATCTATCTTCTCAAGAAGAATTTCTAAAATGAAACTTAGGATTTAGCACATTAAATGCTCGAGTCTCCCCCAAAGGAGTTCCCACCCACGCCAGCAGCCAGGCACGGGCTTGCGGGGTGTGCGGGGCAGCCCGCCCCGCCCGCCCTCTTACTGGCGCAGGTCGTACAGCTCCTTCAGACAGGCGAAGGCCGGCGCCGCCCTCGCCTCGCTCGGCCTCGGCCTCTGGCCTTGGCTCGAAGTCTTCAGCTCCTCCACTTGGCCCTGGAGGTGGTCGATGTTGGTTTGGAGGCCTTCGATGGTTTCCGTCAGGCTGTGTGTAAGGAACGACACCAGCTGATGGGGGCGTGTCGTATTAGAAGAAGAGCAGAAGCAACTAGGGCAGATCTGCGGCAAGACCCACGGACGGCGCTTTCCCGCTGGGCAAGGGCTCCTATTTAATCTCCACTCTCCAAAAGCCCGAATTTCAGTGCCCCCTCTCCCCCACCTTGGACCCATGCCCTCCGCAGCCACAGCACGGACCTCCCCGCACCGCCGCACCCACTGGGGTCTGGAAAGCTGACCTCAGGATCTTCTGCTGCGAGGCCTTGCTGTCGGCCACCAGCTTCTGGTTGGTCTCCTCCAGGTCCCGCGCCGTCACGTCCAGCTGCTCGTACACCTTGGCGTGCTGCTCGTTCATCTGCCGCAGAAGCTCCACCTGCTTGCTCAGGTACTGCAAGAGACCAGCGCACGCTGGCGAGGCGCCCCGACGCCAGGCCTCTGCCCCCCAACACCGGCGAGGGCCGCCTGCGGCCCCCAGAAGCCGCCGCTCCAAGCTCGGCCTGCTCCCAGCACTGCGGCTCGCGCACCTGCCCCGAAGGCCCCATGGCTGTAGCGCACGCCTGTAATGCCAGCTACTCAGGAGGCTGAGATCGGAGGGTCGTGGTTCAAAGCCAGCCCCCGGCAGGGAAGGTTGTGAACCTCCCAATTCATCACCAAAAAGCAGTTAGTGGGGCTGTGGTTCAAGTGGTAGAGTAGTAGCCTTGAGGGAAAAAGCTAAGGGACAGTGCCCAGGTCCTGAGTTCAAGCCCCAGGACTGGCAAACAAAAAAGAAAAAGTTTTACTACAAGCAAAGTGTGGTAGCACGTGTCATTAATCCCAGTTCAAAAGCTCAAGGCCAGCCAGGGCTACATTTCTAAACCCGTCCCCCCCCCAAAAAAAAATCAAACAACAAAATAGTTTTCCTGGCAGAGGTCATACAGCTCCTTGAGACAGGTACTGATGACAGAACCTGACCTCCAGAGGCTTCTGCCAGCCAGGCCCTCAGCTGAGTCTTGTTCCTGTCACCCAGAGAATTCCAAGGGTTTTGGGAGCTCAGTGCTACGAATCAGGACAAAAAACAAATATAAGTGTGTGTGTCTTGAACTCAGGGCCTGGGCGCTAATCGTGAGCTCTTTTGCTCAAGGCTTACTCTACCACTTGAGCTACATCGCCACTTCCAAATATACAATTCTTATTCTATAACATCAACACAGGTTTTCTTGTTTTTGTTTGCCAGTCCTGGGGCTTGAAACCAGGGCCTGGGCACTGTCCCTGAGCTTCTTTTGCTCAAGGGTGGCACTCTACCACTTGCGCCACAGCGCCACTTCCGGGTTTTTCTGTGAATGTGATACTGAGGAATCGAACCCAGGACTTCATGCATGCTAGGCAAGCACCCTACCACTAAGCCACATCCGCAGCCTCTCACAGGTTTTTTTATTGGTCGATTGTGGGGCTTGAACTCTGGGCCTGGGCGCTGTCCCTCAGCTCCCCCGGCATGCACTGCGCTGCAGGGCTGATGTCACAAAGCATACAACACAGAAAGATCCCATTCGAAAGGAAAATCTAACCCTAATGGAGAAGGGAAAGTCTAGGAAGGCGAGGGAGGGGATGAGAACATAGCACAATACAACTTACCAGGATGGGAGGGGGGAGGAATGGGTGAGGGGGTGAATTCAGTATGCACCTAGTGTATGTATGGAAACGTCACAGTGAAACCCCTCGTGTTATAAATGTGAACTCAGGAAGGAAGGAAGGGAAAAAGAGAAGAAAAAGCAGGCACCAGTGGCTGTAATCCTAGCTACTCAGGAGGCTGAGATCTGAGGATCACGGTTCAAAGCCAGCCCAGGTAGTAAAGTCCATGAGATTCTTTATCTCCAGAAGTGGCACTGTGGCTCAAAGTGGTAGAGTACTAGCCTTGAGCTAAAAAGTTCAGGGTCAGTGCCCAGGCCCCAAGTTTAAGACCCAGGACCAGCACCCCCAACAACAACAACAACAACAAAAAGGCTAGAAAAATATGCCCAAAGTTTAAACCAAAATACCATACTTAACAGAAATAGGGACTAAAGTGGAGAATTTCTGATGATTTTTACTTGAAAATACTCCTTTTTCTTTTTTTCCCTCCTCCATGAGGCATGCTAGGCACAGGAGAAATACAGATAGTGGATCTAAGGAATGCCATGCTGTCCTCATCGCCATTTGGGCATCTTAATGGATGATGGGGAATTTTCACCCCGTTCCAAGAACTTCAGAGGAGATATGACTTGCTTTGCTCTGCAGCTGGGTGGTGGGATTTTGTTAAGCAATACAGAGGTGATGTTCTTTGAATTGCAGGTGTGTCACAAGTTGTTTAGCTCCAGGAAAGTTTTGCACCAGAGAACACCTGCCCTCGGTTGCCCTTGATTGTTCCCCCTGGATAGCTTGCTCCCCGTAGAACATGCTTTGCTAGTCCCCGTACCAGGCGGCATCTGCCTGTGCGGGCTTTGCCTTTATGAGCTCTGTGCTAACCTTGGGCGCTGCAGGTTCTTTGGGACGCTAGTCTGCCTGCGATCGCTGGCTCTCTAATGAAGACTCCAGCTTCCACCTCTGAAGAGGTGGCTTCTCTGTATCTCGCTGAGTGAGCTTCTGGAAATGCAGTGACTTAAGCAGAAGTTAATGTCTCTCTGCCCGAGAAACCTGTCACAGGGTTCATTCCTGGTGCAGGTTCACGGGCAGTGGAAGCTGCCCTGATGCCCCGCCCTCCTCAGGCCATCCCCAATCCCAGCCAGGTTTCTGTGGAGGACACGCCCACCTCAGAGAGAAGAGAGTGTGGGCATGGCTGATGCTCACTAACAGACTGAGGATTAACTTGAACACTCTTACTGCAGTTAGATGTAACTCTTCACTCCCTCGCGGTAACGCCAGGCGCTTTGTTTTGTTATGTTCTGAGACCAGGTCTGACTACGCAGCCCAGACTGCCTCCCACTCGCCATCTGCCTGCCTCGGCCTCTCCAGTGCCAGGATTAAGGGTGTATGTCACCACACCTGCTTCTAACACACTTCTTTTGCCAAGAACCAGACTGATATTTGGTGGGCTTTTGCTTGGTGTTGAAAGAAATCTTTAGGCCTTTTTTTTTTTTCTCCCAAGCCCAGTTACATGGCTGGGTGGCAGTACATTCAACCAACCCTTAGCCTCTTTTTTTTTTCCCTTGGCCGGGGTGGTAGGTGTGTGTGTGGGGGGGTCCAGTCGTGGGGCCTGAACTCTGGGCCTGGGCGCTGTCCCTCAGCTCTTCAGCTCAAGGCTAGGGCTCTACCACCTGAGCCACAGCACCACTTCCGGCTTTTTTCTTTTTGCTTATGTGGTGCTGAGGAATTGAACCCAGGGCCTCATGCATGCAAGGCAAACGCTCTACCACTGAGCCACCTTCCCAGCCCATCCCTTAGCCTCTTTGACCATAACTTTCTCATCTGAAGGCTGATGGAGCCAAACACGCTCAGGAGAATTCGCCCCATTGGTCAGACCTGTCACTTCACAACACCTTGTGAGGTCTGGACTGGACCCAGTCATTAGACATTTGATTTATAAAGTTTCTAAGCCAGGCACTGGTGGCTCATGCCGGTAATCCTAGCTCTTCAAAAGACTGAGATCTGAGGACAGTGGTTCAAAGCCAGCCAGAGCAGGGAAGGCCGTGAGTCTCTTATCTCCAAGGAACCACCAGAACACCAGAGGTGGCGCTGTGGCTAAATGTGGTAGAACACTAGGCTTGAGCAAAAAAACTCAGGGACACTGCCTAGGTCCTGAGTTCAAGCCCCATGACTGACAGAAAAATAAGTAAACCAATAGGTAAATAGTTTCTACAGGCAAGCATGGTGGCGCTTTCCTCCTCACCACCCCGAGTATCCACTGGAGACGGGGGCGGGGGGGGGGCAGGGTCCTACCTTGCTGCTTAGAGCTATGTAAACGTTGGCAAGAACCTGGTTTTCCTGACCTTTTTTTCAATCAGGATCTCATGGGGCTGTGGCTGTGGAGATTAAAAATATATGTGGGGGAGACACATATGTCCTATGTGTGACCCTAAAATATGTCCCTGGCACTGTTGAGGGGAGGGCGACGGAGACAAAGGCTCCCCTCCCCCTGCCAAGCTAGACAAAGGTCACCCTGTGGGGCAGGGCAGGGCAGAGGCCAGCGTGGAGGAATCCAAGCTAATCAGCTTACCCAGACTCTCCCTCCACCCTGCCCCTACTGCTTAGCCTTCCCATAAGCTGCTACCCCCACAGGTCCAAAGGCCTTGCTACACCTTGTCACTTGTCTGAAGAATGTATTTCTCTTCAGAAGAGATCCTAACACCAGGGAGGCAGAGACAAGGAGGATCATCAGTTGGAGGCCCACTAGGTACTAGAGGGCCAACTGGATCTCCCTCCTCCGCCCTTTCCTCCTGTGTATGTGTGTGGGGGGGGAGGGGAGGGAGGTACTAGAGCTGGAAGTGGATTTCATGTGCCAAGTATGTTCGGCGGCAGGTCTGCTGCTCTGACGCTCAATCCTCACCATTCTCTTCTTTGGCCTTAGCTTGGTTACAGTTATTCACTTTGCTTTTTATTATAACAGAATGCTTTCTCATGTTTTTTTTTTTTTTTTGCCTTTTTTTTTTTAATGCTTGAACTCAGGGCCTAGGCACTGCCCCTCACGTTTTGTGTTCAAGGTCAGCACTCCACCACTTGAGCCACAGCTCCCCTTCCAGCTATTTTTGGTGGTTAATTGGAGATAAAAGTCCCATGGGGGTTGGGAAGGTGGCTCAGTGGTAGAGCGCTTGTCTAGCATGCATGAGGCCCTGGGTTTCATTCCTCAGTACCACATACACAAAAAAAGCCGGAAGCGGCGCTGTGGCTCAAGTGGTAGAGTGCTAGTCTTGAGAAATGCAAGTTCAGGGACAGTGCCCAGGCCCTGAGTTCAGTCCCCAGGACTGGCCATGGACTTCCTTGCCAGGCTGGCTTCAAACCATGAGTCTCACATCTCAGCCTCCCATCTAGCTGGGATTACAGGTGTGAGCTGCTTACTGGAACAGGGCTCCATCACCAAGCTCTAAAAATTATCTACACAGGGCTGGGGAGGTGGCTCAGTGGTAGAGCGCTTGCCTTGCATGCCTGAGGCCCTGGGTTCGATTCCTCAGCACCACATAAGCAAAAAGAAAAAAGCCGGAAGTGGCGCTGTGGCTAAAGTGGTAAAGCGCTAGCCTTGAGCTGAAGAGCTGAGGGACAGCGCCCAGGCCTAGAGTTCAGGCCCCACGACTGGACCCCCCCCCCCAAAAAAAAATCTACACAGGCACCAGAGGCTCACGCCTGTAATTCTAGCTACTCAGAAACTGAAATCTGAGGTTCATAGTTCAAAGCCAACCCTGGCACAAAAGTCTGTGAGACTCTTATCTCCAATTAACCACCAGAAAACTGGAAGTGAAGTTGTGGCTCAAGTGGTAGAGTGCTAGCCTTGAGCTGAAGAGCTGAGGGACAGTGCCCAGGCCCAGAGTTCAAGCCCCAGGACCAACCAAAACAAACAAACAAAAAATCTGCACAGGCTGGGAATGTGGCTTAGAGGTAGAGTTTGCCTAGCATGTATGAAGCCTTGGGTTCGATTCCTCAGTACACATAAACAGAAAAGGCCAGAAGTGGAACTGGGTATCAAGTGGAGAGTGCTAGCCTTGAACAAATGAAGCTCAGGGACAGTGCCCAGGCCCTGAGTTCAAGCCCCAGGACTGGCAAAGAAAAAGAGAAAGAACCAGAAACAATGTCAAATTCAGGCTGTGGAAATCAATTAATATGCCAAGTTAAGTACCAAGAGGCCACTGAAAGAAAAAAAATCTTGTTTAATATATAAACCCTGTAATAAAAAATACAGTGAACTCTTTCAAGAACGTGTGCTATTGAGGTGTTAGAGGACTTTGTTTTCTGGATAATCTGGAGAATGGCCAGGCGCCTGTTTCATCTGGCAGGAGTTATAATCTCACTATATTAAATCAAAACTAATCAGAAAAACCCTTCTCCAAGACTCAGTTATATGTGACCCCCACCCTCCCGCCCCAGCCAGGGGCCGAACTTGGCTAGAAAAGCTACCGCTGTGTGAGCCAGCCCTGACGAGGGCGACCCGGCCTCTACGCCCCAGGCTGGGCCCTTCGGCTTGGCCTGAGTCAGGCAGGACTGTTTTGCTGACTGTGGAAGGAGCTGAGCACCTTCTTCTCTTCTCCACACGAGCGCCGGCGCTCTGCTGCTCGCTCAGCTCAGAATCTTTGGCAAACAGCTCAAAGGAATCTGACCCTCCATGCTGAGGAGGGAAAGGAAACAGTTCAAACCTAACCGCGGAAGAAGAGGGATGTGAGTGAGGCGGCAGGAACATGGACAAAAATGCTGACTTAATGGCCAGATATCAAAGTCTAGAACATCAGTATCGCGCTGTGTAGAACTTTGCACGGGATACCACCTCATCTGAGGGTACAAGGTTCTGTTACAAGTCGAAAACAGGCCCCCTGGAAGAGGGGGACCAATGGGAAAGAAATGCCAACAGGATTGCTCAACACCTGTTCACGCCAGGCTCTTCCTGGGACTCTTAACCTGGAACACAGGAACAGAAACACATAACCCAATCTAAAGACATAAGGGCCAAGCATGGTGGTATATACCTGTAATCCTGGCTACTCGGGAGACAGTTTGGAAGATGGAGGCTCAAAGAGAGCCCAGGTAAAAGTTAGTTAGATCCTAACTCAACAAACTAGCTGGGGGTGATGGCACATGCCTCTCTGGTCCTAGGGTTGAGAAATGACTGGGCAAAGGCTCAAGACACTTCTTGAAAGACAGACTAAAACTTGAAGGACTGAGGATGTGGTTCAAATGACAGAGTAACTGCCTAGCAAGCAGGAGCCCAGAGTTCAAGCTCTAGTCCTGGGAGGGGGGTGGGGGTGGGGAGGGAGGGCTTGCAGGGAATTTGGATTATCTTTAAAACAAGGATTAAAACCCAAATCCTCGGAACAAACTTTTCTTATAAACCTTGAAAGAAAAAAAAAAATCTCTTTCTCCTGATTAAAGTACCATTATTTCTCCTGTAGGAAATCTTAGGGGTGGGGAGCATGAATAGGAAAATGAAGCTACCCCCATCCTAATCAGACATGGAAATTCTCCAGCTATTTGCAAATGATATTGAGGGCTTGTGCCTAAATCTTCGAACACGTACAACATTGCTCCAGAAAAATCTCCTGTGATGAAACCCCATGATTTAGGACTTGTAGGAAGAGTGTTTGAGCTATCTAGTTTCTGTTTTCAACAAGCTTTTTGTTTGGTATGTTTTTGAGACATGCAGGGTCTTACTATGCAGCTCAGGCCAGCCTCAAACTCAAGACCCTCCTGCTCAGGTTCCTAAATGCAGAGACGACAGGTGTGCACCTGTACCCTCTGTCAATTACCTACTGTGTCCAAAGACCCCAAGAATAAGCACAGCCGCAGCGCCAATGTTGTGGGGAATGGTGAGAAAGCAGAACATAGAAGCATTAAATGTTTTACAATTCCCAGAAAGGTCCTTCAGGCAGTCTAGCATAACAGGGAGGCTGAAGGGGCACACGACTCCCTTTGTACAGGGCTGAGGAGCAGTTGCGGTAGGCGCATGCGCGAGAAGCAAGGCTTCAAGCAGCCTCCACCACCACAGGCAAGTGGCATCTGGCCTCAGGAATCTCCACAGCTTCCATTCTCCCCTCCCTCTCCCAGCCAGGCCAAATCTTACTCTGGATTCTTTTTTTGGGGGGAAGGGGTCGTCGTGGGGCTTGAACTCAGGGCCTGGGCGCTGTCCCTGTGCTTTTTTGCTCAAGGCTAGCGCTCTACCACTTTGAGTCACAGCGCCACTTCCAGTTTTTTAGTGGTTCATTAAAGAGGAGAGGCGCATGGACTTTCCTGCCCGAGCTGGCTTTGAACCGCGATCCTCAGATCTCAGCCTTCTGAGTAGCTAGGATGACAGGCGTGAGCCACCAGCGCCCGGCCTTACTCTGTATTAGTGAAAACAGAACTTAAGATGTTTAAATTAACCCTGAATAAAAGTCAGATGGACACAGGCTTCTCTGAAGCCAGGGAGATGATTACTTTCAACGGGGTCTCTCATCTTTTCCTTTTTGTGTGTGTGCTGGTCCTAGAACTTCAACTCAGGCCCCTGAGTTCTTTCCACTAAAGATTGGTGCTCTACCACTTGAGCCACAGCTCCACTTCCAGCTTTTTGGTGGTTAACTGGGAACAAGAATCTCACATGCCTTCCTGCTCAGGCTGGCTCCAAATCTTGATCCTTAGATCTCAGCCTCTTGTATAGCTGGGATTATAGGTATGTGGGCCGGGGTGTAGGGGGAGACAAGGGGTGCTGGTCCTGGGGCTTGAACTCAGGATCTGGGTGCTATCCCTAAAGTTTTTTTTTTTTTTGGCTCAAAGTTAGTACTTTATCACTTGAGCCACAGCCACTTCTGGCTATTCTGACTAACCGAAGATCAGAAACTCACCAACTTTCCTGCCTGGATAGGCTTTGAACCTCAACCCTCAGATCTCAACCTCCTGAGTAGCTAGGATTACAGGTATGCTTACAGCTAGAATTACAGTACCCAGCTTACTGTTTTAGTTTCAAATGAGGACAAACACTAGTAAACATTCTAGAAAGAAAGTTTAGGGCTCGGGTGTAGCTCAGTGATAGAATGTGTGCTTATCATGCACATACCCTGGGGTCAACCCTCAGCACCAATAAAGTGCTCACACAAAACTTGTAAATGAAAGTTCAAAACCAGGGTTTCAGCTTTGGAGTGTGGGTGGGGCAGTGGCTGGCAGGGCTGATAACTGTTATCTGGGTACTAGGCACCTGGGTATGTTTACTTTGTAAAAATTCACCAAACTGTATACTTAGCATGTACTCTTTTCTGTACATATGTTACTGCTGGTGGCTCAGGCCTGTGTAGCTCCTTGGGACTGGAATCTGAGTCCGGAGTTCAAAGCCAGCCCAGGCAGGAAGAGTCTCTGAGACTCTTACCTCCAATTAACCACGGAAAAGCCACACGTGGAGCAGTGCTTAAGTGTTAGAGAATAGCCTGAAGTACAAAAGCTCAGGGACAGCCAGGCACCAGTGGCTCATGCCTGTAATCCCAGCTACTCAGGAGGCTGAGATCTGAGGATGACGGATCAAAGCCAGCCCAGGTGGTGCTGTGGCTCAAGTGGTAGAGCACTGGTCCTGAGCTGAAGAGCTGAGGGACAGTGCCTAGGCCCAGAGTTCAAGCCCCACAACTGGGGGTGGGGGGGGGACTCAGGGGCAGCACCCAGGCCCTGAGTTCAGGCCCCAGGACTGGTACACACACAAAAAAAGTTTTCAGCAGAGAAGAAAATAAAAATGAACTACAGTCTAAATGAAGAAAAGGGACCTTATAAAGTTTAAGAGGAGTTCTGAAGATGACAGTGATGGACGTGTGTGACCCAGGGTCCCCTCTACACAGAGACTTGGACTTTTGGGCAGCGTTCTGCCCCAGGTTATTAGACTGAGAGCCCATAATCCGCCCTGTACAGACACAAGCTCGAGCTGGCATTGAGGGGAGACTCAGGGATTCCCCAACTAAGTGGGTGCAGTCAGCTATGCCACCACCTCAGCACCTTGTTGTGGCCCAGGCCTAATGTGTTTTGTTTTGGTGCCAGTCCCGGGGCTTGAACTCACGTGACACATGAGACGCCCACCAGAAGCACGGAAGTAATTACCTCAATTTCCTGTAGCTGCTCCTGATTGGTTGTGTACATCTGCTGCAGAGAATCCTCCAGCTCCGTGTTCCGATCCAGCAAGGTCTTCCCAAGCTCGGCGGCAAGCTGGAGATCTAGCACAACAAAAGAGGGTTACAATGACATCAGCTCCCATCACATACAACCCAGCTGTTTAACTAAGCCTGAAGCCAGGCCCACCAACCCACAAGTCAGATCGCTGTGGCCCAGGAAGATACATACCCCAGTTCTACTTAAATGGTGGCTAAACTGGGACCTCTGGCAGCTAAGATACTCTCTTCTTTACCTTTCCTTTTTTTTTTTTTTTTTGTGCTGTCAGTCCTGGAGCTTGAACTCAGGGTCTAGACACTGTCCCTGAATTTTTTGTTCAAGGCTAGCACTCTAGCACTCTATCTCTTGAGCTACAGCTCCCCACTTCTGGCTTGTTTGGTTGTTAAGTGGAGATAAAGAGTCTCACAGATTTTCCTGCCCAGGCTAGGTTTGAACTACAATCCTCAGCAATTGGCCTCCTAGGAGCTAGGATTGCAGGCGTGAGCCACGGGGGCTACTTGTAAGAAAAGAACAGCAGCTTTGTGCTTGTAGAGAGGCAGCCATTAGTCCAGGAGCTGTCAGTCAGCTAATTGTTCATTCTTTGATAAAACCTTGAGCTCCATCAAGTATATAAGATTCTTCCAGCCAGGCGCTGGTGGCTCACACCAATAATCCTAGCTACTCAGGAGGCTGAGATCTGAGAACTGCAGTTCAAAGCCAGCCTGGGCAGGAAAGTCCATGAGACTCTTATCTCCAATTAACCAACAGAAAACCGGAAGTGGCGCTGTGGCTCAAGAGACAGAGCTCCCCTTGAGCTGAAGAGCTCAGGGACAGCACCAGGCCCAGAGTTCAAGCCCCACCACATACTAAAAAAAAAAAAAGAGCGAGAGAATCTTCTAGATATCTCTTAAGTTTAGAGAATGAGTCTGACTAATACTGACAATTAAAAGCAACAATTAAAAGCAAAGGTTGACAGAGTATGTTCTGGATTCCTAAGAGGACCAAACAAGAAAACTACATCAGAACCAGGCACTGGTGGTTCACACCTGTAATCTCGGCTACTTTGGAGGCTGAGATCTGAGGATGACAGTTTGAAGCCAGCCTCGAAAGGCAAGTCTATGAGACTCTGATCTCTAATAAATTACCAAAAAAGCTGGAAGTGGTGCTGTGGCTCAAGTAGTACTAGCCTTAAGCAAAACGAAGCTCAGGGACAGTACCCAGGTCAGGCAAAAAAAAAAAAAAAAAGCCAAAAGCACTAGAGTGCCAGCTAGAGCAGAAAAAGCCAAGTGAGAGCATGAGGCTCGAAGTTCATATCCCAGTACCAGGATGCACAAAGGAGGTCACACAAATGGTGTGGGTGAGGAAATGGGACAGCCACATCTTGAAGGACGGGAAGTCACCACGGAAGAGCCAGGACCTAACCAGTAGCCAGGATGAGCCAAAACAGGGGAAGGGTACAGGGATCGAGTCACACCCACACCTACTTCAGAGGTGCAGGGGAGCAACTGGATTTTCATTCTAGAAAGTCAATGGAAAGACATGGAAAGTCAATGTCGTAAACATTTTGTGAAAACGAAGTAACAATCACTACACCGTTTCGATCCTTTCTTTTTTTTGTCAGTCGTGGGACTTGAACTCTGGGCCTGGGCGCTGTCCCTCAGCTCTTCAGCTCAAGGCTAGTGCTCTACCACTTGAGACACAGTGCCACTTCCGGTTTTCGGGTGGTTTATTGGAGATAGGAGTCTCACAGTCTCTCCTGCCCGGGCTGGCTTTGAACCGCGATCCTCAGATCTCAGCCTCCTGAGTAGCTAGGAT